GTAGTAAGCCATTTTCAATATTTATCGTGTTAAAAAAAGTAGAGTACATAGTATGCCATTCAAGGTTCTAAACACTTAACACCCTACCTGGTCTTGCCAATCCGTGGTTTCAGCAAGATGGATCTACACAGTTAATATATTACTGCCATAATGTCATAATGGCAGCCGTTCGACGGCTCTTTGCGGTAATTCAAACATTCGGTCACCTAATTTGTCGGCGTTTGATTTTTTCTTGTAGGGCCATCTTAAAAGCAAAGTGTACACCATCTCACTGACATTATTTTCCGAACTTGAGATTTTAGAGTTTTGAACCTTTAATGGCATATATTATGTACTCTACGTTTTCCACGATAAATATTGTTTTCCCGTTTCCCTAGCCCACCCTGTACTCATAACGTGTATTACACGGTTTGACGTGTGTGTGTGTGGTTAAAACAGAAAGGGCAAACAATGATTTTCGGTTGGAGGCCGCCATCTTTTCATCGTTTATCCTAAAATTGTATCCATACACAAGTCACAACTGGTGTATAGAAATAGCATTATGCTGATTGATAACCGTATTAGGTACACGCGCCGTCTCAAAATTTCAACCGAACAGGACTGTTTATTGGAGCTTGCCGGCTCAGCCTCAGGGCAGCCGAGGTACGGGGCAACTACAGAAACCACTCTGCCGAGAGTTAAATTACGAAGGGCTGGTCAAAATAGAAACGACCCGTCATGTGCGAGGGTTAATCGGGCGCGGGCGGCCAGCTTGTTTCGGAGGGAACCACTAAAGCCAAGATGCTTTTACCAGCTAAACGATTAGTAGATGTAATTAATATTTAATACGTATGTTGGCAAGTAATTACTTGCCAACATTACTTGGAATGATTTTATTAGTAACAATATAGTTATAAAATTCGCCGCCAAAAAAAATCATTCGCCTTTAGGACTTCTATTAAGACGTGTGGATGGCAATTCTTAGGTATTTAACGTACAACCATTAAAATTGATAAACTTTTAAGTCGTATAACCCAAAAAACTAATGATTTCCGCAACTTTTTTTTTGCACCATCGGTTTTTTAAAACGTTGAAATACTTAGGTTTCAAGAAAAAAAAAGGGCGCCCGGTAAAGTAGATTTGTTCCCAATGTCTAACATTCAGTTAATTTTTTGTTACTTAAAAACAAATATACGTTTTAACTTGACGTAGTTATGTCAAATTATTAACTTAACGATTAACTTAACTTAATCAAATTAACGATTAGTAGATGTAATTAATATTTAATACGTACGTCCCCGCGCCACCATCTAAGCGCTCGTCTGGCGACCGAGATCAACAGTGTCACGGCAGGCACCTCCGCCTACCAGACCGGCTGCTATCATGAATGGACAATATTTCAATATATGAAAGTAATGGACCAAAATTACTCAAGGGACTTTTGTCAATAGCTCTGGTATTGTAAATATTTAATTTTTGATTTTTTTTTTTTTGGAACTAATTGGACTATTTTGAAAAAATATATGGAGCGGCGCCGTAATTTTTAATTTGAATAAAATGTAAACTTTTCAGGTGTTTTTTTTTAATTTTTAGTCTAATAATATAACCTTACTGGTGCGATTTCAAACAGGAAGAAATCGGTTCAGTGGCTTAAAAGATATTGTGGGTACAATCACAAAAATATAAAAATTGTATTCCAAGTTAAGGGGGCTCCATACAGACCATTTTTAAGGAGTTTTGTATTGGCAATATTTAAGAAAAAATTGGTTTAAATAAATTTCGACCATGTCAATAAATTTATCGGTTAATTTGTATAAGCTTCAAGGTATTATTTTTAATTTAAATCATTTTGCCTATGAGTAAAAGTCATTTTAGTTAATATAACATACATTTTTTGTTTCATTGCACAGGCTCAACCAGTGATCCGATAAGTAATATAAAAACAGATTTGAATTTGTCATGAAATTTACTTGAGATCGGCCGACGTACTTTTTTGATATCTTATTCCTACTATGTATAAAACACGTTTGAACATTTTATAAAATTTCAACATTTTAAAATAAAATTTAGATAGGGTTAAAATTAAAAATTGAAAAAAGTACCTCGACCGATCCTGAGTAAACTTCATGACGAATTCAAATCTGTTTTTAGATTGCTTATCGGATCACTGGCTAGGCCTGTGCGATGGAATGAAAATGATGTGTTTTGACTGAAAAAATGGTCTGTATGGAGCCCCCATAATTAGATATTTTAACCTGTATTTTTCTCGGCATTCCACTTGTAATTATCTTTCACTGAACTGTCCCTTTCCAAACTCATTAAAATGCCCACGAACACAAACTAAAGGGGATGGAAGTATTCCATACTCAGTTAATTTAATAATTAAGCTTAAATTGTCGTTTTCGTCTGCGAAACGTTGGAGATGGAATACATTTAGATACTTACAGTTTGTCATTTTGAAAGCTAGTGTCGAAGAATCTTAAGAAGTAGCAAAGATATGAAAATTACAAATACCGGGTGAGTTGGTTCGTGCAAAGATACACTGACATTGCTAGAACTTGGCTCACTTGGCACTGCCGTGCGCTCAGATTTAGGTATAAAAACAAAACAAATAAATATATCGAAAAAAACCTGACCACACAACCTATGTAGTGTAATTTTTAAATGGTAATTGTACATGTGGGATAAGACCCATAGCTGTACTCCAAATAAAATGTTTTTTATTTTTATTATTATTTCTTTACAACATATAAATTATAAAGTATATAATGCATAATGAGCCCCATTAATCAAGCTCGTGCGGGGCCCTATGAGATCGTATCTATTACAACCACCATAAACTAGAATACACTTACTTAAAGCTATTAGTATTACAGATACCTAACCTAACCAGGTAATTAGGCGTAGTTTTGTCAGGCTTATAAATCTAAAACGTCCAAAAAACCGACCGCTTTCAATTACGATACAGACCACAAGTTTCACCACATTGCCCATCAAAATGTATTAGCCAGTGTGGCACTTTCTTAAATAAAACAAAATATGATTAAGGTAGGATTTATTCTTCCTCGTAACAATAGTGAATAGATAAATCATTTCCAACTGCAATATTAAAAAATAGGTATTTAGACGAATACAAAATATTATATTGAAGACGTTTTAGCGTAGAAAATATAATTTTTCTTATTGTACTCCTAGACAGTATAGTAGAATAAAAAGAGTCATTTTAAGAGAGTATTATTGCTCCTCGGGGAACGATTTGTTTGAGAACAATTGTTTTTTTTCACACTTTCCGATTCTTAAAGTCACTCATATATAGGATTCTCGTACAGTGCCATTCTTTGAGTAGTTAAATTTAATAATACAATAAAACAACGAAATAGAATTTTAAACGCCATTATACATTTTTTTATTATACAATATGACGTCAGTTTCTCATATTTTATTAGTAAATAAAATATAGTATTTTTTTACACACCAACAGTATCCTGGACTGGTTTCAGACTATAAATGCGATGAATTTCTTTGAAAAAATAACATCATAAACGTATGGCTATACGTTTTAGTCTATTTTAGGAGAATACACAATGAAATTTTTATTATGTTCTACGATAAATTGAAAATATACATACGTCTACTTTATCATACACATATTTTATGTTATACATGAATCTTTACTTCTGTTTTTGTAAAACCCTACGATAAGATTATACGTGTATATATGTATTTGTATGGATAGTCTAAAACATAATATTCTTATTTGTTAATCTTATACTTACATTACAGAGACAACTTTTGGAGATAATAAGGTTTGCTTGTAAATCAAAAAGAGGGGCATGTTTTGCACATCTGTGTATTATATTTAAAATAATATTAATGATGACATTAATGCCGACAGTTCAACTAGCAAAATAAAAAAATTGCCGCCGCTCAGAGCCCTTGACCGGTGATTGAATTCTCATTTTGTCAAAATTGCAAGAAACATCCTTTGGGATGTACTTTATTCAAGCGCCTAGCTGCTTATTTAGTATTTATATTAGTGCCGCTAACGTCGAGATAACGTTTCAAGGAAGTAATAACATTATTTCGCTGTGCAGTCCGTGACAAAACGTTAATTTTTTAAATTAAAATTCGAGCTTATTGTTTCTTAGGACACAACACTCTGCAGCAACCAATGTCATAAAAGTTGGAAAAGCTATTTTTAATTAGAAATCTAAAATTCGAATAAATTATCCACATCATAACGTATTTTAAATTAAACTTAATAATTTAAAACGTAGTACGATCATTATCGTTGTATTAATTTTTTAATTATGTTCATAAACACCTGCGAGGTATAAAAAAAAAGGTAGATTCGTTTAGATGAACACTTGTTGCGCTATAAGCGCTTTTTTTTTTTTTTTGGAAATACACTAATATTGACTATTCAGTTGAGTCACTGATAATTAAAGAAATCTGTATAAGGCACTGAGTTGGTCACTATACTGTTATAATTGTTTTATCTAGGCGACACGATAATATATGAAAAAATTATTTTTTATTTAAACATTTATTATTTATGACAAATTTATTTGGAATTTTTTTAATTGTTATTGTTATAACTATTTATTATTACCTGGACCAACTTTTCGCTACTTGCACGTATTACATAGATAATACACAATATTATACACTACATTGTACTTCAGTTCAGGTGACATTCAATTAAATACTAATTAATTACGTGGAAACGGAAACCCGTTAGAACTTTCGATAAACCAAAACAGTATGTATGCATAATTAAAGGTAAACTGAGTAGGTCGACCTTTTTACTTTGCCGTTAGGTATTTTATGGTCAAACGTTTATAACTATTTTGTATAAATTTCCAAGAAAATTTGTTTTGTCTAAATGGTCAAACTGATTTTTCCTTCAATAAGATGGCGGAGTAATTTCGCAGCCTGCCCATGCTGGATACGTTATTTCTTATCAGTGTCCATTCCGATTTATCAGTTCTATGACCTTATCAGCTATATAGTGTATATTGTGTGCGCAAAAAGGAGCCGATCAATATTATTCATCATTCAAATTACAATACCGTGATAATGTGCGTGTCGTGCAAAGAATAATTATTATTGTTATTATTAAGAATGTAGCTTAAACGTGAAAAAAAGTTATTACATACACACGATGGCCGTGTGGACGGAAATATTGTTGGTTTCTTTTTTTATTTCTCTTCCATTCATGTACGACACTTGCCGAATATTTCGGTATCACTTACGACTGGCTACGTTTTTCATACTCGCTACATTCACGTCGCTACTAGCCGTCTTCCAGTACAAACAGCGAATGAGGTAATGAGTATTACTGTTTGTATATTGTTATCATTATTATTTAATACTCCTATAACGACGAAGTGCAAACGTTCAGTAAAAAAGCCGATCTCGAACAACTATTATTACAAACCTCGCATGCATTCACGGACCACTGTAGTACGTCTCTTGGTTGGTTGCAGGCATTTGGTTATTATACTTCCACCTATAATATAAGATAGACTGTTCAACTATGTAAGTTAATTGTCGTACGTTATTTAAATACTACGCAGAGTTAAAATTTTCATCCCACATAAATACAAAGAACACAGCTAAAAATGATGAATTTTGCTTTGGGTTTTTTTTTTTAACTCCTTATTAAAAATACCATATAATTGTATAGTAGCTTTAGTTGCTCTTAAATGTTAGTTTCGGACCCTAAATATACACATAACTGCGACATAAAAATAACATTATTAAGATACATTTTTTGTTTGCAGATTAATTGCATATTTTGGTCAACAAATATCTGATTTACTATCTGTCGAATGGCGAGTTTATGGAAAACAGAACCTGATCAATAAACGAAGAAGAGTAGTTCTTATTAATCACCAGGATTTTATTGATGCACTAGGTGAATATTATATTAGTAAATTACTTATTAATTTATGTCAGACTGCACAAAATATTGATAATCTTCTATATTGTATAATGTACTTGAATTCTGTAGTTTACATACTCAAGAATAACTACTAAAATATCCAATTTCAAATATCATTCGCTTACAAGTATAAACATTAAAAAATACTTTTGAAATTTGAGCAGTTTATAGCTCTCGAAAATAGAGGTTTAATGTAATTCAATTTCTATTCAAATACTTTACAACGCTGAACTCAATTTAATATTTCATTTACGTTTAATAGACTAATCATGAGTAGTTAACTAATTGTCGTTTAAGGAACTAATGCCCGTTTATTCATTTAACCTTTATGAAGGTTTATGCACCTCAAAAATAATTAATTTTCCAAATGTAAATTTAAAATCTGGCATACGACTAATTCACTTTATATTGTTCTATTAAAAATCAATTAGTTCTATATAATTATAGGTCAGTTGGTGTATTAACTATTAAAAATGAATAATAAGTATTTATTTTGTAGGTATTTTACATTTGTTGTATTGTCGACAAATCGAAATGGACATTGATCTAGAAAATCATTATTCTAACTTATGGCCCTTTTCACTTGTCCCTTGGCTTTTGTCAAGATTACTTTGTCCCATTAATTTTATCAACGAAAATTTCGGAACAACAGTCTTATCCAGAGCTACAACCAACTCCAAAAATGAGGTAATATATATTTTTTTAAATTATATTTTACGGTTTACTTTCAATTTGATCACTTAATGTGTACATAATATATTTATTACAAATTTATTTTATGTGTTTATAGCATAATGTATTTTTGGTGCCTGCCTCGATGACATGTGAAGACACCATCAGGATTGCCGTTAAGAAGAAATTGCCCATTCAACCAATTGTGTTTTCCAAACATTACTTCCTAAATAAAGAGAAACATTTATTTGAAGCTGGTATACATTTTCATTTCAATAATAAGTGGAAATTGTGTTTAATAAAATGTACGATATAATATTTAACAGGTCGTATTATAATATCGGTTATGCCTTTGATTGAAACAAACAGTTTTTCGACAAATAATTTACCTGGACAAAGCCTAGAACTCCTCAACAAAATGAACACTGAATTTGATTGTATTAGTAAAATTACAGAATTAAGCGATTACCAAACTCCATTTTACATAACTAGTTGAACATAGATGACTTTTTTTTGCACAATTGTTTATTTTGCATTTGCAAAATACTTTTTTACTTTTCTATAATGACTTTATATTATAAAGATCATTTCTAAAATATTAGATTGGTATTTTATTTTATTATTAACTAATCCAAAGATTTGTTTTTAAATATTTGTATTTTATATTTATTTAATATTTTAATTTCTATTATTGTGCAATTTTTAAATTATTAATAAGACATATTTTTGTATGTAATTTACTTACATAAGTAGAAAATACTCTTTACGTTATATTATGGCTGTGGATTTTAGCAATTTGTTAAGTAATTAAATACGGTTTAATGATACAACTATTAGTCAGTATATTGTACAAATACCAAAGCCTTACAAGTATTTTTGAACTAGTCACAATATTAGTTACTATATACTAAAATTATTTTATTTTAATATTAAACTAAATAATGTTCTAAAAATACTTAGTTTTTATTTATAAAACATCCACTTGTCGATACTCCTTACAAATAAAAAATACACAAAAGGCAACCTTAAAATTACTGCTGTCTGCCATAATCATTACAGGTAGTAATTGTGTGAAGTAATGCCGTAGGGGTAATATTAGGATTAGTATTGTGGTTTGTTAACCACAGAAATATGTTTTCATTTTGTTTGTCTGTGCAATATGGAAAGATTTTTTCACCGCATTAATGTATTTTGTTTTATACCTTGAGTTAATAAACACTTAATAGGTCAATGAATTAATTTAGAGTAAAGCAGTTCTATAAAATATTATAGTTTGTGGTTCTATGAGATAAATGCACTCTTATGGAGTGCAATGTAAGGTTTTAAACTAATTGTAGACTTAAATTATAATGGTCCTTAACAGCAATTAACATATTATAAACTCTCATTTGTAGGTATACGATTCTATAAGGGGGCAGCTCGCTTTCATGTCATTTTATTTGAATTTAATAGTTGTTTTAAATATTATATGTATGTTTTAATTTGTTGAGGATGGGCCACACCGATTTAATGTGTTATCCATTCGGAAGTACTCTTATCATTTATCGAATATGGAAGAACTGCTACCAACCGTATTCCAGTGTTGATTTTTGCCTGGTATTTGGTAAAGTCATGACGGCTACACCGTCATCTTGATTTTATCGGCATTTCAATTGCGTGATACGGGTTATCATATCCTTGCGGTCGGTCAGTATCTGGTCTGTTCAGTAACTTTGGAGAACCTGCATTTCGGCACTTTACAATTTTTACGCCGAATTTCTTGTTATTGTGCAACACTAAACCCAACTAGCGCAACTTGCTTTTTTTAAGTACACATTTTACTTTGATTCGATAATAAATTAGGTCTGCTATAAACTTAGTGCATTCAACCATCAATTACTTTAATTCACAACGAGGTTCGAACATGGCAAACGCTGTGCGCAAAATTTGCACGAAAATCGGAAACGGACATCAGTATTTAAGCGGAAGTAACAAAGCGTTAACGTACGGACAGTGGATGACTGACATCATTCAGCCTCTGTCAGCTTCTCAGGTAATATTTCAATATTTCATTAATACTAAATTGGTACTTGTACCTGGTAGTAATCGGTTGTAATTGGTAGTTGTACCTGTCATAAATTACAATTGTTTGATTTTTTCTATAAATAGGCTTTACAACTAAAATATTATTTTCAGCATGCCAAAATATTACCTTGTAATTTACTGCATCCACTTGGCAGTGTCGGACAACAAATGGCAAACAAACACAGCTTAAAGAATTCGGTGATATGGTACAAACGAAATAATTGTACTCGAACATCTGTGTTACCTTTAGGCGATTTAAAAAAAGCGATGGTTCAACTTTCAAGTAATCCAATATCCCCTGATAAAAGAGAAGAATCAAACCCAAGAGATCAACCAACTGCTGAGCAATTAGAATTCATGCAAAATAACCTAGTCGAAGATGTAAGTTTTATGACCGAAAAACATCAAACGTTCAATCCAAGCATTATGTTTAATAATAATTTGTTTTTAGCTACCCAAACTGTTTAAAGAAAACATAAATTATTCCCTTTATCACCCCAAATTGGTTTTTGAAAATAATATCAGAGGAACAAAAAGTGTGTAAGTAATTATTTAGTAATCATCATCTTACTCACTTCTTTACATTGTATATTTTACAATCTTGTTGTATTTTTAGAGGACTTCATTATTTTATGACTTCAATCAGTTTATTACGTATTATGGGACATTTAAAATATGCGTTTGTAAAATTAGATGTGTTAAAAGCAACAAAGCACCCTGAAGATGGTACGGTTAAAATTCGGTGGAGGATAAAAGGCATATCAGGGTTCAAAGTTTTCATGAAATTTTGGAAGTTCAAGTTTTGGGACTTTGAGAATGCCATCAAACAAAATATTGAAACGTAAGCTATTATTTTTTTTAAAAATAGCTAAAGCTAAACAAAATACTGAGAGAGTTGCAGATAGCACTCACAATGGTTATGTGTAAACATATTACAAATCACATTTAGTAAATGTTTGTTTTGTTTTCATTTTTTTACATTCATTCATTTCACGGTTTAGTTATTATTTGTTAATTTGTAAACATCAAATTTACCATGATCTGACTTGTGTCAGAATTACTTCAGACACGGTTTTCCATTACCTAAAACATCATAATGCACGTAAAGATAAAAAAAATAAAAAATACCGTATTTCATGGTAACTGATATTTTGTTTGTCGGTTATACTATCTAATAAATTGAGTTAGTTGTATATTTTTTTCTTGAACAAATTTATATGTGTATAATATTATTCATAAACATGTACATTTATTTTTGTACCTTAAATATTATAATACATGATTTTAGATGGCATGATGGATTTTCAGTATTTTACCTGGGCGGCGATGGATTGGTTCATAAGCTCACCGTAGACAAAGTAAAGCAATCTACATATTTATGCATTTTCGTTTACGTATTAAGTATGTTAATGTATTTATTTTGTAAAATTATAGATGCAACCAGACGATAACACCGTGTTGGAAACCAAAAACCCATTAGCTGCCAAACTCGCTTTATTTGTAGGTTTAACTCAACATGCCGATAGCTTAAGTTATTACCATATGCCGTTGGATATTATTGAGCACACCGAGTTACTGAATTTGATCATTATGTCTTTAGAAGACGCACTTTAATGATTTCAGTATGATCAAAAATGTTATAGTTTTTCCTTGTAACTGTTGCTGTTTTTATTGTTTTTTTTTTTTACTTATTATATTTATTGCTTATCACTATGATTAAACTTACAATATATAGTGAGAGATAAAAATTAGTTGTTCCTAAATTGTGTAAAAAATAGTTTAACAATTATTAGATTTATCTATGTATCTACGAGGTTTTGATTTACCAAAATGTGTTAATAGTTCTCACGGTTTAACAGGAATAATTAATATGTCTAAAATTAATATATTTCGTTAGTACTAATACAAAATGTGTGTTATAGGAAGTTTATAGCGATAATATGACTATACAAATTAACCACAGTTCACTTTCCTTACTTGTTATTTTATTTTTATTAAAAAAAAACTTGTTATTAACTTTTTTTTTACAACTATTAATACTATTAACGGCCATGATTTTTTTTGGTATAAAATTGTTAATTAGTTTTTAGAGGTTGAATAAAAATAAATATTTCACATTAAGAAGACACTGTAATATATCGTGCATATTTGTTTTTAGCTTCGATGCAAAGCGAGAAGGTATTGGTTTTACTCTGATGTGGGCTTTTTTTTTCGCTGTATACACTGTAACTTTTTTAATACTGGACCAATTCCTTCGAGTAGCAACTCTATAATTCGCAAATTTCATCTAGTTGGTACTTTGGGGGGGGGGGGGGGTAAAAGTTGAAAAAGTTTAACTCTTCACAGACGAAAGTTAAAAAAAAACAAAAAAAAAACCGTACGAGTTTTTAAGTTAGAACTTTTACTGGCTATAGTTTCGAGAAAAAGAGTCGGATCGAGTTGAAATGTTTAAGAAATATTTATCTGGTATGCCCGCGCACGTCAGTTGTGTCAAATTTAACTTATACCCATTTCCCACCCCCCTAGGGGTACAAGTTTTTTTTGTTTTTCGGCGTTTTTAGCCGTAATTTTAAAACTTTTGGGTTGAAAATTTGCCAGTATTTGGAACTCATATGTATCCATAACATATTAAACGGGTGACAAATTCGGCACTACAGTTTTTTTTAATTGCCGGAAAACTGTGTTTTCGCAGATTGCGTATATTTTAACAAAAACACCTAAAATCTTTAAAAAAAATTGATCAAATCATTAAAACAATTTTATGTATATCTATGCAGAATGATACTATTAAGTTTTGTGCTCAATTACCACTTTTGACTTTAAGTTTACATAAATTCCATTTTTTATTCAATTTTGTCACTTTTATTTATAATAATTCTTGTAGACCTGTGACCTCTCCGTTTCCTCATTGCTTTGATTACATTATGCCAATACTCTACTGTACTAGTCCTCTCGGATAAAATCACTTTCAAATTAACGCTTTGATGCTCATTTGTAAATACAGAACCTTCATTTAAAACTTTCTAACTTAGCTGGTTTATACTGTGCTTGGTTTGGACTGTACTGACTTGAAAATACTAACTACCGATTTGCATCGAAGCGTTTTTTCGAAAGTGATTTTATCACTTTCAGATTTAAAAATTCCTCTAAACCTGTGACCTCCCCGTCACCACTATGCCCCGACCCAACTATTCTCCGTCCCCACTATGCCCCGACCCCACTGTACTGGTTTTTTTTTTTTTAATATTCCTATTTAAAAACATAATTTTGGAAAAATTGTGGACATAATATAATATGGTGACCGCACCAGTACCTTCAATTCATCTCAGATTACTTCTACCAATTGATCCGAGCGGAAAATACAAGTTAAAATTATTTTTTTTGAAAACGTGTAAATTGTTAAATTTGTTAACATTTTTATTATCCTATAAAGCGTATTTAACTTTTTTTTCGATGAACTAAAAAAAACCTTCTTTTTTAGATAAGAGGTTTTTACAAAGACAAACAAAAAAGTTCATAATCAAAAATATACCTTAATTTTAGCTTCGATGCAAAGCGAGAAGGTAATGGTTTTACTCTGATGTGTGACAAAACACGTTTGCATTTGCGTTTTCGTGTTGGAATAATAATCTCCACCGTCGCAGTCAGTTGGCGAAAAAATCTAAACCGTCTGACAGAGAGTAATAATAACATTAGATACGACTAGTAAAATTCTATGCCAGCTAATAACTATTATACTCTGTTTTTATCAAAACAATACCTACATTTCTAATACAACTCATAAAACATTACAGTTAGTAGTCGGGTATATTTCCATAATAATATGTCAACAATATTTTGCAAATGCATTCATTGGACATTGTAGCATAAATTATGCTGCATAATTATTACCAAACAATCATCAAACATAATGCGTTTTGATACATAATATGTACCGTCGAAATGTATATGTTTTGTTATAAATTGTTACTTTCCGATGAAAATCTTTACAACCAGAAAATTTTGGCGTCGTCTTCGTGTAAAATATTGTAAATTAAGTTTAACATAATATATCGTGGTGTAAAGAAAGTGCGGCTTTCTCATCTCCTGGCATTGTCGTTGAATATATTACACTACCGTAGTTGCAGTAAAATTTATTGATTCGATGTAAGCTTATTTATGCAATGCCTTTCAGATTGTTGGTTTAGCTACACGCTAATGACTGTTTTAATAAATTAAAACAAAAATCACAGTTTTGTAGCCCGACATTTGCATATAGCACTTCTCTTCACTCCGTCTGATCTCTTTTGATTTAATTGACTTTATGATAACCCGGTTCCCGCTTAAGCTTAGTTGTTGATATTGAAAATTTAAAAAAAGATATAATGAACCATCCGACTAGCTAGTATAAACATCGATTGCTGTTTAATTATACGAATTTCAAATTGTTGAAGCTTAAAGGCTGATTAAAGTCAGTGTAGGTACCAACGTTAGTCCAAATATGTACGATTATTATATAACGTATACAATATACATGACCAAGGTTTGAAATTTCTCAATGAAGTATTTCACAAAAATAAATATTATTTGTTTTTCCTGTAGGTAAAAAGTTCTATGCGTCTAGTCAAAGTTGAAAAATTCCTCTTTCTGAAAGAATTTCACATATAAAAATATATCTTGTAAATATTTAATGTGCGATTGACTTTTCTTAGAAAAATTCCTATTTAAGATGCATATCTGATATTAGATAAACCAATCGCATATGAATATTATTGATTTTCTACGAGTAAATAGTTTGGCATGGGCTGTTGGTTGTTGAATCAAAATACAAATTTCGAACTACCCGCAACCACAGAGTTATACTCGGTTTACTTGGACGATTGGAAGTTTGCGTACTAAATACTATAAGAAAGAGTACAAAAAATAATAACAATATTAACTTCCATCATCGATGACAACAAAGTGCACGTGTATGATTGAATGAAAAGTGCAATTTTATCGTATTTAATGATGTTGCGATGCGGTTCATATCCCCAATTATGGAGACAATATTACATTATTGTAAAATAATACAAATTTATCACAATCCGATAAATGATCAGTATAATATGTACATAATATATAAGCGTGTTCGTACTTGACTCAATTATCGTACGATACAATATAATGTATTGTCTTCCGGGAAATATGAGTATGGCTTTCTCGATCGGAAAGTGTCGGAAATAAAAAAATGCACACCAAAAACAACGAATAATAATTTGTATTCCTTTTTTTTTTATTAAGAAAGTCTTCAATTTGCAAACATTACTAGCCCGAACAATAATTATCCCGTAACTTTTACTACGTTAGCTCATCATCATTAAGTTTACACGTGTGATTCGAATCGATAAATCCGTGTTGATTAAATTTTGAAGCAAAACAACACATGTGAATGGTTCTTCGTACGAGGAAGGAAGAAAGTAACACATTGGTCGCCGAGTTGAGGAAGTCTTCTCTATCGGCTCGTAGGCGATTCCAGGGGGCCAGCAGAAGATCCAACGCCGATGCTTGCCTTCAACTCGAGCCCGATATGAAGTCAGCTCACCGTAGCAGGAACGAGGCTGCCTTACGGTAAAGTCCTTGGCCCTGATTTCATTATGAATGAAGTGCTCGAGGTGGTGGTAAAAAACCTGAGAAATTGAAAAAAACTAATTACGGTGGTCCGGAAGAAGCCCATGGTCCTTCTGCTGTTTAGGAAGCGGGGTCTTCATGAGGCCGTGGAAACAAACAACCGGTGGGTTTCTTGACATCGACGACGTGACAGTTCTTGGACTTGGAGAGACCACTGAAACCTTGGAGACCATCTCTCAATCCAGCCCTTGAGAAGATTGCCACAAGGATGGAGTAGATCCGCCTGAAGCTGTCGGTCGCCAAGTGGTACCGCCGAGCAAAGAAGTGAGCTACAACAAATGTAACCAAAGCGTATTATATCATCGATTCTTCGATAGGGTTTCAAGCTAATTTAATTACCATATGCGATAACGAACGTGTCCGGCTATTAACAGTAACACCTAATAATCTTCTACGCCGAGTGTTACTAAGAAAAACCTGAGAAAAACTGAAAATCTTTCAAAGTCGATTAAACATAACTGTAAGGAATATTTTGCATAATATATATAGAGTGAGTGTATGAGACATTCAGGATGTTTTAAGAGTACAAAAAAAAGTTATTCAATTTTTTTTTAATTTAGAATTTTTTAAAATTGAACTCGTATCTCATTAAAAAATTGTTTATTTAACGAAAATAATAAATAATTGTTGAATTGATATGTTACATTTAACCTTCAAAAAAGGTATCGAAATTTAAATACCTATGAGTAGATGATATTACCCAACAAGTCTGAGGAATATTCCTACTGCAGGAAACGGGCTGAAAACCAGCCAAACCGAAGCCGCCGTGACATTTTACTGAGTCTCGACACGGTATAGCAAGACCGATGGAACACCGTCCAGGAGGGCCGCGTTACCTACACGTACATGCCGGAGGTCGGTCGCACTCTGTGTCCAGAGTGGAAGCCCCCGCGACACTTTGCTACCCAGTTTCTGACTGAACACGGGCGCCTTTCAAGCGCACTTGAATCGGTTTGGCATTTTGAATGACGATTTCGTTGACGCTCACGCTCCTCCACAAGCGTACAGGACTATAGGTCTAATAAGCACTTTATAAAGTCTTAGTTTCCTGTTTTTGGACAGCAATCTTGACTTAAATAATGGTACAAGCGCAAAACAGCACTTATTTCCTGCCGTTATCGTCCTGTTAATTTCTTCGTGGCTACTTGCTTGTTGGTTAATATCTACTCCTAGATATTTAAAGCTTGATGCCCTTTCGAAGGTTAAGTCTCCAACTACTAGCGAATATTGTATGTGTTCTCTTCGAGATATTATTAAGGATTTCGTTTTTTGATCATTTACTTGTAGTCCAATCTCTTTCCCCTTACATATTAGCTTTTCGGCCGTCCGTATTACACCTTC